GAAATCTCACTGTACGATCACGCGCTGGGCCACGCTGCTACCCCTGCTGCTGATGCTGACAGCACTGCCCGCTCACAGTGGCAGACTCGTGACGCCCACGCTCGCTTCGCTATTCGCGCCTCCCTGCCGTTAGATGAGCGCGAGCACTTTGGCCAGCACAAGACTGCACAGGCACTGTACAAAGCTGTAGTTGCGTGCTACTCCTCACCTGCCTCTGCTGCGCTAGGTCGTCTCTCGCTTCCCTACTTGTTCCCAGACCTGTCCACCTTCTCTACAGTCGCTGACCTCATCACGCACCTCCGCTCTAGTGAGGCTCGCTTTCGTGCCGCTATGCCCGCTAAGTTTCTTGCCAAGAACCCCCCCCCGCTGTGGTTGACTCTCTACCACATCGTCACCCGTCTCCCTGACTCTCTTCGTGCGGTTAGGGACCACTTCCTCGCTCGCTGCCCCACTGAGCTCACCATTGATCTGCTCGAGAAGGAACTGCTTGCAGCTGAGACTAGCATAGTCGCTGTAGGTACCTCTCGTGGCGACCCCCGCACCCCTTTCTTTGAGGGGTGTTCCCCCTCCCCCCTTCTCCCCTCCGTCGCATCTGCTGCCACTGTCGACCTCCTTGGGACTGAGCAGGTCGGGACAGCGTCCACTCCGAATGGGCGTCGCAGTGGCAAAGGCAAAGGGGGCAAGGGAGGTGGTGGTGACAGCGGGGGAGGCGGTGGTGGGGGCGGTGGCGGCGGTGGGGGTGGTGGAGGGGCTGGAGGGGCTAGTGGCAGCAGTGGGGGTGGTGGCGGCGGCGGGGGTGGCGGCGGCAACAGCGGAGGAGGTGGCCGGGGTGGGGGCGGTGGTAGTGGCGGCGGTGGATGCGGTGGCGGCAGGGGTGGTGGTGGTCGAGGTGGTGGTCAAGGTGGTGGTCCGCGCCAGCAGCAGGTGGAGGGATAGCATGGCTCACTGACAGTCTTCACCTCCAGTCGTTCACTACGAACTTGGTGAAAAACGCAGTCCTTCAGGATGCTTGGGTTGATACCTTTACCCCTGGAGGACAGCGTGTGGCGATCTGCACGTGTGCACGGACGGGCCGTCTCCTGGCCTTGTTCACCCGTCGGCCAGGGTCGAGCCTGTACACACTGACTACTGAGCCTCCTCAGGTCGCTGCGTCTGGTCAGGTGTCTGCGTCAGGTCAGCTATCAGCCCCTTGTTCGTGTCGCCTCCTCTTGCACCAGACTCTCCTCTGGCACCACCGCCTTGGACACTCCTCCCTGCCACGCCTCCATGGCATACACTCCCGTCTCCTTGTCTCTGGTCTTCCTTGGTCTCAGCCTCCCCTTCCACCCTCGCCTGCCCCCCCCTGCCTTCCTTGCGTTGAGGGGCGGCAGCGCGCCGCTCCTCACTCCTCGTTTCCCTCGACGGCTGCTTTCCTGCAGACTCTCCACATGGACGTATGGGGTCCAGCCCGCGTCAAGGGACAGAGATGCGAGTGATACTTTCTGCTGGTTGTTGACGACTACACGCGTTACACCACGATCTTCCCCTTACGCAGCAAGGGGGAGGTCCCTTATGTTTCGAACCCTTGGATCCGCGCTGTCTGTCTCCAGCTCCGCAAGTGGTTCCACACGGACCTTCGTGTCCTGCGTCTGCACTCTGACAGAGGTATTGAGTTTTCCTCCGACCTCTTGCGGGAATTTTGTTGTGGGAAGGGCATCCACCAGTCGTTCACGCTTCCGGCCTCCCCGCAGCAGAATGGGATTGCTGAGCGCCGCATTGGCTTAGTCATGGAGGTGGCTCGTACCTCCATGATCCATGCAGCTGCTCCCCATTTTCTGTGGCTGTTTGCGGTCCGGTACGCTGCACATCAGCTCAACCTCTGGCCCCGTGTCTCCTTGACGGAGACCTCGCCTACACTGCGTTGGACGGGGGAGGTTGGCAATGCGTCAGTGTTCCGGGTCTAGGGCTCTCGTGCCTTTGTCCGCAATACCTCTGCAGACAAGCTCTTGTCCCACGCCATTCCCTGTGTCTTCCTTGGCTTTCCCACTGACGCGCCTGGTTGGCAGTTTTACCACCCCACCTCGCGCCGTGTCCTGTCCTCTCAGGACGTCACGTTTGACGAATCGGTTCCTTTTACTGTCTCTTCCCCTACCCCTCCCCCCCCCCCCCCCCCCCCCCCCCCCCCCCCCCCCCCCCCCCCCCCGCCGCTCTTCCTCGCTCCAGGTCCCCCTCCGGTAGACCTGTAGAATTTCACTACTATAGCAGCTTGATAGAGCTCGGAAGCACGATTCCAACGCACCAAAGATTGCAGGAAACGGTCCACTATAGCCAGAGATACACACAAACATAGTAGTGATAATGACTTAGTTGATTTCTGGTTTGTGCTCTCTGGTTTTATACTAGGACGCAATACAAAAACAAAGCACACAAGAAAGTGTCGACCCGGGTCGCGCGCTGAATTTCGTCGACGCGAAATTCCGAGCCTTGAATTTCGCCGAGCGAATTCCATTGACTGGAATTCCGTAGACGAGAATTTCCGCGACCAGAATTCCGTCGACCACCGACTGTAACTCCCGTGCGAATTCCGTTGACTTCGACACTTCGCTGCCGAGTTTCAAACCGAACGCGACCCGAGATCGATTTCGCCAAAGTGTCCCCAATCTGTCCCCAAACTGTCCCCAATCTGTCCTGCCAAGACACTTTCGGGACACTTGAATCGAAAGGTCTCCAGTTCGAAACTCAAGTGCAGCATAACCAGCCCCTTAGCAGAAACTGTCCTGAATCTGTCCTGAGACACTTTCAGGACAGATTTGAAGGTCAAGAGCTCGAATCCCAGCGCCGACAATTTGTTGCTCATGGCAGCATTTCCTTCTAACACGCCCCCTTGCTGTCAGGAGCACGCTGGACCAGCCCGGCTGCTGCACAGCATCGGTTGAAGGCTGCCTTGTCGAGCCGCTTCGTGAAGAAGTCCGCGGGCTGTGCCGTCGTAGGGATGTGCTGCAACTCAAGCTTCTTCATGCGCACCATGTCCTGCAGCCACATGTGGCGACGGTCCACATGCTTCATGCGCCCCTGCAGCCCGCCCGCCTGGCTGAGCTGTACCGCTAACATGTTGTCGACGTACAGGATGGTGGGAACACCCTTCTTGAGCAGTTGAAACTCCCACAGAAGGAATCTCAGCTTGCGCCCCTCCTTTCCCGCTTCCACCGCAGCCACAAGCTCGCTCTCGGTGGAGGAGAGCTTTGTCGCACCCTGCGGCCTGCCAAGAAACGGCAGCTCCGCCAAGCTTGAAGAGGTAGCCTCCCGTGGACGAACGGTTCTCCTTGTCGCCCGCATCATCCGCATCCGCATACCCCACCAGAGTCAAGCTCTCTGGTCCTCCCTTGAACAGCAGCCCCGTGTCTGGTGAGGCAGCCCAGTAGGAGAGTGTGCGGAAGAGCTCATGCCAATGCGCATCCGTCCTGAGGTGTGCACCTGCTGCAAGACGGCTGCACGCAAAAGAGAGGTCAGGACGGGTTGAGATGGCTGCAAACTGCACCATGCCGAGAATTGACAGGTACTCGGTCATGGTTCGGTCGGCAAATTGCCCGGCATCCTGCTTGGCAAAGCTGGCGGAGGAGAGAGGCGTGATCGGCTGCTTCTTCGGTGGCGCCCCCTTGAAGAACCGCTGCTGCACCTTCGCCACGTACGCATTCTGGTGCAGGAGGAGTGTCCTGTTGGGGCGGTCGCGCACAATCTGCAGCCCCAGGTAGCGCTCCACTGGCTCCACCTCGCGAAGCTTAAACGCCTTGGCCAACAGCTCCTTCAGGTCCTGCAGCAGCTGCTTGTCTTCACTTGCCGTGAGCAGGTCATCCACGTAGATTAGCAGCCACACGCGCTTCCTGCTCGCCCCATCCTTGTAGTATAGTGCCTGATCCACCAGGCTCTTCCTATACCCCTCCACAAGGAGCACCTTGTCCAGCTCCTTGTACCACAGGAGGGGACTCTGCTTGAGTCCGTAAAGGCTCTTGTGCAGGAGGCACACCTTGCTGCTGCCGTCGGTGAAGTAGGGCGGCTGCTGCATGTAGATCTCGTGGTCGATGGTGCCGTGAAGAAATGCATTCTTCACATCAAGCTGTAGCAAATCCAGGTCCATAGCTGCTGCGATTGAGAGGAGCACGCGAACGGTGGTGTAGCTGCCAACAGGAGCATAGGTGTCGTCATAGTCGATGCCGAAGCGCTGGCTAAAGCCCTTCGCCACCAGCCTGGCCTTATACTTCTCCACGGTGCCATCAGGCCGCAGCTTCTTCTTCAGTAGCCACTTGACGCCGACTGTTTTACGTCCTTCGGGTAGGTCGGCCAACGACCAAGTGCCTTGCTCATCAAGGCTCTCCATCTCCTCCTTCATAGCAGCCCACCATTCCTTGCCTTCAGGTCCGGTCAACGCAGCTGCCAGGTCGAGGATGACACCTCCCCAAGCGCCTTCCTCCTCCTCATCCTCGTCCGGGTACTCCACTTCGTCATCGCTGTCCGTGTCGCAGTCGTCCTCAGCAAGGTACGCCATGTCGTACGGGTTCTCCTCCTCGTCCGTATCCTGGGCCGTCAGGGCTGATGGCTGAAACCGTACGGGTGGCACCCCCTTGTTAGGCCTGCTGGAGCGACGTGGGGGTTGTGGAATGGGCTGGATGGGAGGAGCTGCAAGTGAAGGCTCATGCGCATGGGCCACTGGCGGCTGCTCATGCACTGCGACCTCTCCTTCCTCCTCAAGAGCAGCCGTGTCGCCCCCGTCCTCAAGGGAACCATCCTCTGGTCCCACGGGCGCTGAATCAGCAATGGAGGGTGGACCGAGAGGAGGTGGTGCAGTAGGTGCCTTGCTGCCCAAAGGGCCCACCGAGCGATCAAGGGGTTGCTCGCCCCCTTGCATGGACGGCACCGAGACCACGATGACGGTGCGTGGTGGCGGCAGATTCTGCTCGGGGTCGTGGGGCTCAGGAAAGAGAGATGGGACTGAAGCAAAGGGTGGTGTGGGCTGGTCATTCCCATCACCTGCGTGTGCACGCCACTTCTGCCACCTTTCAAGTGACATGTCCTCATAAAAACGTGCATCCCGGGTGATGACCATGCGCTTTGACTCAACATCCACCACACGCCATCCCTTGCTTTCCATGCTCATGCCCAAATGCATGCCCCAACGAGTCTTGCTTGCAAGCTTCCCCTCACGCTCATGCTCAGGAATGAGGTACTGCACCATGCACCCGAACACACGGACCATGGACACATCGGGCTTGACTTTGAACACCACCAAATGAGGGGTCACACCTTGGGGCAGAGTGGACTGGTGCACACGGTTTACCACCCACAAGAACTGCTGGAAAGCAAAGTGCCACCAGTGTGCTTTCACCCCCATGTGCCCCAACATCACACGCATGCCCTCGGTTACCGTACGGTTGCGGCGTTCAGCCACACCGTTCTGCTGGAAGGTCGATGGGCAAGAAAGTTGACGCAAGATCCCTCGTTGCTTCAGCAGCAATAGGAACTCGTTCGACATAAAATCTCCTCCCCGGTCCGAACGCAACACCTTCAGCGTCATCCCGGTCTGACGTTCAGCTTCGGGGAGCCATTCCTTGAAGGCAGCAAGCGCATCGCTTTTCAGCTTCAACGTTGTCCCCTAGGTGTAACGCGAGGCATGATCCACGAAAAGAATGTAGTACCTGCTGCCATCCATGGCTGGGGTCTGGAATGGACCGCACACGTCAGTATGGACCAGCCCAAGAACCTGCTCCTCTCGCTCGTCGTGCAGCGGAAATGATTCACGAGTGAGTTTGGCTTCATGGCAGGAGGTGCACGGCATATCCTCACCTCCTTTCTCCAGGTCCATACCGAACACGCCACCGCTCGTGGCTGTCCGCTTCACCGCGTCGAAGTGGACGTGTCCAAGGCGAGCGTGCCACAGGTTAGGCGTTGCCTTGGAGCCTACCGTGTACGTCTTGAGGCTGGCCGCTTCATCCTTAGCTTCCGGCTTGCTTGACGCCACATCAGCAATCTCCTTCGCCGTGCCGTTGCTTGTTGTTGCAGCCGCCGTGCCATTGCTCGCCGCTCCAGCCGCCATATCGTTGCGTGCCGCTGCAGCCAACGTGCTGTTGCATGCCGCTGCAGCCGTGGCACCGTTCATTGCTGGCCCCGGTTTCAGGTCAAGGCAGTGAAGGCGATGGCGGTATCGTGCCGTTGCAGCCACTTGACCTCCTGATGCGATGACGCGAGTGACACCTTCCTCGGTTTGCAGCTTTGCTCCCTTGTCCAAGAGCTGCCCAGGGGAGACCAAGTTGGCCTTCATTCCTGGCACAAAGAGGACATCATGTAGGGTCACACGCAAGCCGTTAGTGCCCTCCAGCAAAACCTCACCAACACCAGCAACTTCCTGCATTGAACCATCAAACCCTTTGACGGATTTCGTTGCAGATGGGTCACGGATCACCGTGAACCACTCCTTGCGGCCGGTCATGTGTTGGGAGCATCCCGAGTCAAGGAACCACAAGTCCTTGTCGTCGGCCAGCAGCTTTGCAGCCGAACACGCGACGGTGAGCGCCACGCCCTTCTCGTCTCCTTCAGCAACATTTGCGGCTGCCGCGGGCGTTACATCCTTCTTCTTGTTGGGGCACTTGGCAGCCATGTGCCCCTCCTCATTGCAGTTGTAGCAGCGCCCCTTGAAGGGGCCTCGCTTCTTCTCCCGCTTGCCATCCTTCTTCTTGTCCGTCTGCTCCTCCCCCCCTTTTCCTTCCTTCCCATTGACCCCCATTGTAGCCACAATCGTGTTGACAGCGCCCGAGAAAGCAGATGCATCGCTGGTGATCTGCTTGTAACTGTGTTCGATGGAGAGAGTCTGCTCCTCCATCAACACCTCGCTGCACACACGTTCCACCGTCATGTCAGGGCTGGAAATGTCGAGCTTGCAGCGAAGAAAACCGTACTCCGGTGGCAGACCCTTCAGCACGTGAGCGGCAAACGTGGCCATGTGGACCTCCTGTCCAATGGTTAGCAGCTCTGCTCGGATGGTGCGGGCCCTGTTGCAGTAGTCCGCCGTCTCATCATCTCCCTTCCTGAGTTGGGCTAGCTGGGTCTGAAGTAGGGAAGCGTGGAGGGCATCACGAGCTTGATAGGTAGACAAGATGTATGCCCATGCCATCTGCCCGGCTTTCTCTTGCTGAGAGAAACCAGCAATAGACATTCGGATGGGTGGAGAAACACAACGATTCAGCACCATGAATGCAAGCATTTGGCCCTTTGCGTACTCCCTTCGTTGCAAGGGGTTGTTCGGGGCCGGGCTTGGTGCTGTCCCGTTGCAAAACTGCCACAAATCAGCGCATTGGAGCTGAGGTCGGATGGCGCTGACCCACGCGGTGAGGTCGTGCCTTCCCTCCAGCAGGGGCGTCACGGAGATATGCTCTACTCCAAACTTGAATTGACCGTAGCTCGTCCCGATTATTCCCGTGTCAATGGTCGGAGCAACAGCTCCTCCTCCAACGCCTACGGCAGTTGGAGCCTCGTGCCCAGCTCCTCCTTCACCAGTTTCTCCTTGCTGGCCGCTCGTAGGTGCATGCTCTGCCGCGCGCTCCCGAACCATGCGTAGTAGTCGACCGTCCACAATGAGGTCGACCTCCTCATCACGCAAGTTAGGGTGGTGCTCACGAACGGACGCATCCAGCTCCTCACGGGCATTCAGGCCCTCGGCGCTCGTTAACCACTCCATCCGCGGTCACAGCGAGCGTCAGCCACACCAACGTAGGAATGAAGTCACGGGAGGACTGAATCAAGCCGCTAGTTGGATCGACGAAGATAACGCAGCTCTGATACCATGTAGAATTTCACTACTATAGCAGCTTGATAGAGCTCGGAAGCACGATTCCAACGCACCAAAGATTGCAGGAAACGGTCCACTATAGCCAGAGATACACACAAACATAGTAGTGATAATGACTTAGTTGATTTCTGGTTTGTGCTCTCTGGTTTTATACTAGGACGCAATACAAAAACAAAGCACACAAGAAAGTGTCGACCCGGGTCGCGCGCTGAATTTCGTCGACGCGAAATTCCGAGCCTTGAATTTCGCCGAGCGAATTCCATTGACTGGAATTCCGTAGACGAGAATTTCCGCGACCAGAATTCCGTCGACCACCGACTGTAACTCCCGTGCGAATTCCGTTGACTTCGACACTTCGCTGCCGAGTTTCAAACCGAACGCGACCCGAGATCAATTTCGCCAAAGTGTCCCCAATCTGTCCCCAAACTGTCCCCAATCTGTCCTGCCAAGACACTTTCGGGACACTTGAATCGAAAGGTCTCCAGTTCGAAACTCAAGTGCAGCATAACCAGCCCCTTAGCAGAAACTGTCCTGAATCTGTCCTGAGACACTTTCAGGACAGATTTGAAGGTCACGAGCTCGAATCCCAGCGCCGACAATTTGTTGATCATGGCAGCATTTCCATCTAACAAGACCCCTCCCCCCTCAGGGTCCTGCTCCTTCAGGTGTGTCTCAGGTAGACCCACTCCCCTTGGTTGAGCCTGTTGAGGTTGTCAACGGGAGTGGTGTTTGGCCCCGTCCTCGCTTGGGCGGAGCCGACCTCGTGGTCGGGTGTGCGGGGGGATGCAGCCGACCTGCAGCAGTGGGCACGGAGGTAACTGCAAGGGCGTAAAGTTGGGGGGGGCGCCTGGCTGGAGGGCGCCGAGCAGATGGACGCTGTCCTCGGAGTCTGGGTGGCGTTCTGGGCGTCTGCTCGGCGTCCTGGGCGCCTGGACGCCGTCCTGGGCGTCTGCTCGGCGTCCTGGGCGCCTGGACGCCGTCCTGGGCGTCTGCTCGGCGTTCTGAGCGCTTGGAAGCTGCCCTGGGCGCCTGGACGCCAACTTGAGCTTCTGCTCGGCGACCTGGCAGTCTACTTGGCGTCACGAGCGCCTGGACGGCGTCCTGGGCGAGTGGACGCCGACCTGGACGCCAAGACGCCGACCTTGGGACGCCAAGGTTGGTGTAGCCGGCGACCGACTGGGCTGGACGACCAGGCGGGGTTGCCCGGTCGACCGGGATACCCGGGCGACGTGTGCGAAGGTCGCCGGGGGTGGTTTCTGCGAGGACGACCTCGGGGGTGGTATCCCAAGGTCGACGTGGCTGGTGGGCGCCGTCACGGGCGGAATGTTTGCACTGGGCACTTGATGGGGCGTTGGACACCAACCAGCCGCGCACACCTGCGAAGCAGGTGCACCGTTGTCCTACGGGTGCAACGCTGTGCAGCCGACTTGCTGCAGCGCTGGCACACCGTGGACATGCAACGTTGGCGCGCCGCATCTCTGCAGCGCTGGAGCGGTGCGAGCATTGCTGCGTTGGAACGCGGTCGACCGTGCTGCGCTAGAGGTCGACCAGCAGCCTAGCTAGCTCTGATGCAGTCTATGTTGCCAATGTTGTTGCTATCATTCTGAACTATCATTGTCGTGCTTCCCTACTGGAACTCTTGCCAATTCTCCCCGTGAACTAGCAAGTAGTGTGCGCACAAGGAAACGACTAAGTGAACGAACGCAGAGATCCCTCTCACACACGTGCCTTCCCCGTGGTCAAGCTCCCTCTACTAGAGCTATCTCCGCATGGTGCGATGAGCGTGGACAGCACACGACTCACCTTTCAGTCTAGTCGACTTTGTTGCACCTTACCTAAAGTTGTTCATAGGCCGACAGCTGTGCGGTAGTCACTATGCTGGGCGCCGTAGGTAACACCGGGGTGGTGGACACCCTGGAGGCACGGCTGGAGAGCGCGAGGAGACGCCATGAGGCGAAGAAGTTCAGCGACCTCCCCTGGGCGGTCGTTGAGGCTGGCATCCGCTCTGTGTGGGCAACGGTGCACCCTCCTTCTCGGCCTGCATCTCCTCGATCGGTAAACACCGAGGGCGGCGTCGACGTGGGCGTCAACGCCGGTGGTGACCAAGTCGGCAGCGTTGCGGGAGGCACGTCGTCGAGGCAATGTGGTGTGATACACGCCGATTAAGTCGGTAGCGTTCAGGCGCGAGGGATGACGAAGAAGTACTCCTCCTCCTGCAAACCATCGCATGCGAAGCTGGGAGTGCGAGGGATGTCCCTCGGTGATCCCTGTGCACGGTGGTCCTCGTGGTGTCCGGAGTCAGCGTCTCCTCCCCTGGCCCCAGCGACCTCATAGACGTGCTGTGCAGCCCGGCCGGGGCTGTCGTGGAGATCAACCTCAACTCGCGCCAGCTGGCTGGCTCCATGCATGCAGATATCTCCAAGCTCACTGCGCTCACTGTCCTGTAAGCCCACTGTCCTGTAAGCCCACTGTCCTGTAAGCTCACTGTCCTGTAAGCTCACTGCCCTGTAAGCCCACTGTCCTGTAAGCACACTGCTCTGTAAGCACACTGGTCTATAAGCACACTGCTCTGTAAGCACACTGGTCTGTAAGCATACTGCTCTGTAAGCACACTGCTCTGTAAGCGCACTGCTCTGTAAGCACACTGCTCTGTAAGCGCACTTGTTGTGAGGGCTACTTGCTATCAGCCAACTTCAAAGTTCAATCACCTCATGCTGTCCTCTCCGAGACACCTCTGCCCCCTATGTCTGCTTCACCTGACGTGTTATGCTGCCCCTTTGCAGCCCCGGGATGCCATTCTCTCCCCTTCCATCTCCACGTCCTACCATCACCCATCTTGCCTTCCCCCATCCTGCCTTCCCCCATCCTGCCTTCCCCCATCCTGCCTCCCCCCGACCCATCCCGTTGTGCCTTCTCTCCTACACCCCCCCCTGACTCCCTCCCAGCGGCTTCCACACAAACTTCTTGGTCGGTCGCCTGGATGCCTTCACAGCGCCCTTCACCGCCCTCTCCAAACTGGGCAACCTGTACGTCCCCTTCTCAAACACTCCCTTCCATTCTATTCATGCTCCTCCCAAATGGTCCTAGGATTGGGAGGGGCGTTAGCTGTAGTTGCTCGGTTTTCTCACGGGAACAAGAGAAAGGTAAGGGACACAGCAGACTCCTAGCCACAGAGCTCGTAGAAGCTGGGGTGATCTGTAGCTTCACTGTTGTTGACCCAGCCCCTGGAGCTTGCAAGGTCATTGTTTAGCGACCACAATCCAGGTCCCCTCGCTCTCTCCCCTCTCTTGCGCTCATGTGTCGTGTGCGCCTCCTCCCTTGCGTACCCGAAGCATCTCACACCTCAACAACCTTCACACGTCACACCCGTATGGGCGTACGGTACCTTTGAGAAATTTGGGTGAGGCCACTTCACCCGTTCTCTTGATCATTTTCCACGACCCTCGGTCCCTCGACTCCTTCCGACCTGCCTGCCCTTCCACCTGTTCCCCCACCCCTTCACCGTCCCCTCTTCCCTCTGTGCCATGAAGCCAACTGCACTACAACTACCTGTTTGGGCCCATCCCCTCGGCTCTGATCGGCCTCAAGACCCTCTCCAAGCTGTGAGCTCAACACCTTCATATCAGTGTGCCATGCCATGCCATGCCATGCCATGCCATGCCATGCCATGCCAGACCATGCAATGCCATGCCACGCCATGCCATGCCATGCCATGCCAGGCCATGGCATGCCATGCCATGCCAGACCATGGCACGCCATGCCATGCCATGCAAAGTCGTTGAGTATGATGCCATGCCTTCACATGCCATTTCACTTGCTTCTTCTGCGACCTTTCCTCTGTGTATCCTTCTGCCTCGCACTTGTCTTGACTCTGTGATGCACCTGTGTAACTGAAAGTCTGCTCCTTTATCTATCTACCAGACTCATTCCAAGCCGCTGCTCCCCACCCTGTGCGTCATCCCACAGGAGTCTGGGCTCCAACTACCTCACTGGGAGCGTACCATTGCCAAGCACCACCCTGAAGCACCTGGACCTCGAGAACAACTACCTCGTGGGAACCTTCCCATCTGGCTCCTGGCAGTCCTGCTCTGCACGCACCAACTGTTTCGCGGGTGCTGCTGCTTGCACGGCCAACGGAGGCAAAGGGACTGCTCAGAGAGCCACGTGCAGTATCTGTGGCAGTGCCGATGGCACGGGGGTGTTGTGTGGCGGCGGTGGTGCGTCCACCTGCCAGCTCACAGCTGCTTCCCTCGCGTCCCTCTCCTTGGTCAACAGCCCCTTGACTCCTGCGCTCCCTTTGGAGTGCTCCTTGCTGCCGGCTGTACCCGTCAACTCTACTGCCAGTAAGCATTCCCGAGGCACAGGCATGGCAAGCAGGGGTCACGTCGCGCTCTGCACTTTCCAATCTGCACAGGCACGGGTGGCATGAGGGTTCTTACCTTAATGGCCTGCCTGCCTGCATTTTCCTTTCTCATTCTGCACACACGCTCAGCTCACTGCTTCATCCCCCTTAATCCCATTCCCCCTTTCCATCCATAGCTCCCGGCTCAATCCCACTCTTTTCATCATCCCCCTCTCTCCTGCACCCACAGTGGCAGCGCTGCTGAGCATCAAGACAGCCTTGGGAGTGACGCACACAGGGTGGGCGGCAAACGCTGTCAGCACGCTGTCAGGGACAGGTGGCACTGTAGCGAGTGGGAGCCTGACGGGTGTGGAGTGTGACTCAGCTGGCAACCCCGTCAAGATGTGAGCACCTGATTGAGTTCATGCCCACTTATGTTCATTCTATGTTAGATGGAGCACTTACTAGAGTTCAAAGAAGCAACCCCGTCAAGATGTGAGCACCTGATTGAGTTCATGCCCACTTATGTTCATTCTATGTTAGATGG